ATCCCATCTTTTACCCTTTAACATTGTTTTTAATCCTCCCCAGTCTCCTTTTTCTGTACTGATTCTCAAGAAAATATTTCTCTATCCTTCCAAGGGTAAGAATCAAGAGTTAAGAATTGCTTTTTTTTTTTTTCCATATGGTATGTGTGCTAGAGAATGTGAAAAATCACCCCCACAGGGGAGATGGCCTTCCACAGTCCCTTCTCCTCCATTATTTTCTCAAGATTTTTGGGCAGACATGTACATGCACCTAGTGTGTTTTTCAAACTGTAGGGTCTGGGACTCAAACCATGGTCGGCCACATGAGGTCCAGCCCCCTGCTGATCCAAGAATTTGCCTTTTTATGGGGTTTCTTGATTCTATTTCACTGCCTTCTCCAAGACTTTACTCCTCAACTTACTCTGTTACTCCTTATTGTTCTAAAAATTAATCAGAAAATATTTGATGAAAACAGCACATTGCTTTAGGCATCCTAAACATTTTCTCAGTATCGCCTTATAGTCTGCACATGCTGCGTTACTTACTCTTTGGGATACTATGTATAAATCCTACCTGCTGCCAGTGCTACTAGGGCTGCTCCTTGCAGCATTTCTTCATCTCCAATCCACACCATTATTTTAAACATTTCTGCGGATGACTTACAAACATTCACTCTCTGAAAAGGCAGGTGTCCGAAAAGCTAACAGCTGTGCTAGGCTATCAGCGTAATTCTGAGTCTCTTTCACAAACCCAACTCGGAACACATGGTTGTCAGCTGTGAATTTTCTATATTTCAGGTTTTCTCTGTTAACTAAGTTCCAGGATCCTAGAGTGTCACTAACACAAGCACCCTTTTAAAATAGCTGATACTTTTGTATCTATTTGCCATATCAGAGCTCAATTTTATCTACATCTTAGATATTCTAGCCTAACTGATTGGGGGCTCACATTTTAAAATCCCATTCCTTTTGCAGTTCCTAGCCTTTAATATGTATGTCACGTCTTTCTTGAAGAACATCCAAACATTCTTCACATTGATCTTCCCTTTCAATTCCTGTCCAGCTCCTGAAGGGAAGTCACATGGGTCTCTACTGTGCCCTGGTTCCAGCTTCCCTGGAACTGGATGCCTGTTTCTGTAGGGGCTTCAATGTTCTTCACATTGACCATGACTGTCACGACCCTTGAAAGAGCATGCCTCTCTCAGCCAGCTGACAGACTTCCTTCATGGAGGATAGAGCATTCAATCGTTCTGTAAAGAGAACGGACCCTCAAGCAATCTATTTCTGCCTGTCTTTTGGAGATCTTAGAAAATTTAAATCTTCTTTATTTAGGTCTTGCTGTGGTAGAAGTAAGAATTGTTCATGTTCAGAATAACAATCTTCCCGGGTAGTAGTTCTCACATGTATGTCCAGTGGCAGCTAAGTTATTATACAGTGATAAATTTGGGGAGCATAACATTTATGATATTATGCCAAATAACATGCCAAAATATTTATAAAATTATGCCAAAATATTTGGAAACATAAATTGCTTTGCTTATGCAATGGAAATCTTAAAAGTTATGTGCCTCACCTCTCTGTCTAAAAGAAAAAAATTGAGATGCTCTCCTGGGCCCCTCCAAATTATTTTGGTGTTTGCCATATGGCTTATATTCTTAAGTCAGAATTCTAAAATACATCCTACAAATGAAGTGAAAAATCCCTTGATGTAATAATAAAAATGCATATGGAAAGTGCTATTTATTTATATAGATTGGGAGGCAAAGACTATTACTTCATTAAATAAATACGACTATCTTATAAAATGGAATGCAAAAACTTTTTTTTAAGGTTTTTTTATATAGGTACATGAGCTCTCCAGAGATAGACATAGAGGGAGAGTGAGAAAGCATCCCTTGGGGGATAGTCACACCGAAAGCCCCTTTCTTCCATTCTCCTGGGATTTGGGGCACACACACATACACACACACACACACACACACACACACAGCATGATTTTTCAAGCTCCCAGGTTCAGTATTTGAGCCTTGTTTGGCCATGTAAGCATCCAGTGCCTTAACCACTACACCACCTGCTGGCCCTCAGAGACACATTTTTAAAATGTTAAACCTAAATTCAAATAAACTACCATGTTGCAGAGGTCCCTTTGGGACAGTTTCCCTCTTTCTCTTCCATGCCAGATTAAAAACCTCAGGTGTAAAATTTCTACACAAAACAGCAGTGTTAGCTGATGAAGCTTTCATCCTGAAAATGTTCAGGAAGCTCCAAGTGCATTCTCAACAGATGTTTGTTGTACTCAGTAATTTTAAACAGTTTTTAATGGGACCTAAGTGAAAGATGCTGTTTTCCTGTGAGCTGTGAGTTCCCTGAGAAACCTAACACACCACTCCAAAATTGGACAAATACCTGCTAACCTTCATTTGCATGTTATTTGAGACATACTTCGTAGAATCATGATGTGCATTCATGCAACTGACCCAGCAAAATGTGAATGGCAGTGGGAAGGCTTCCTAGTACATACTACTGAAGTAAATAACTTAATAAATAGCTTAAAATTATGATGACGTGGCAGGTCACTGAGCCCCAACCACTTAACTTCACCATAACAGCAGTCAGTTATTCAGTGGACAATCCGTTATGAGGTGTTGGTGATTTAACAAGTTGGCCAAAAGCAGTCCGAATGGGGTGTGAAAGATTTCATCTCTGTTGGGTTTTACTGGTACACACTGGACTTATTTGATAGAATAGGAAAAATTTCTTCATTTGACTTTCAGGAAACCAAGGAGAACATAGTAATCGATTTTCTGTAGTGCTTTCTATGTCTTTTTTAGTGACTTCTGTATGATTCTATTGTAGAAAGCTTTGCTGAAAACACTTCTGGAATGATTTGTTGTCTGCTTTTTTAGTTTCTACAAACTGCTGTCTTGGATTTTTTTTTTTACAGCAATTTTGAGAATATAATTGAATCCTTAGACTGCAAAAAATTGATCTTATGTATGTAAAAGTAAAAAGCAATTTACTCAGATTATATGAATGTGGTTATGTACTCTGGAAAATATTATTTAACTTGATAAAATGGAAATGTAGAAGGTATTCAGAAGACATGAAAGAATGTAGAAGAATTGCAGAAAATATGGTTGGGAAGCTTAAGCATGAATACCACCTGGTTGAGTTTTTTTTTTTTTTTTTTAAGCTTATTTATTTATTTCATGAGTGAAAGAGAGAGAGATGCAGGACCCTTAGCAGAGTCTAGGATCCAGCTCCCCCCCACGCACACTTCTGCTAGTCCTCTAGATTATGGGCAGATGCATGCCTGGCATTCTCAGAGAGGTCCCTGAATGCAAATTAATAATCTTCCCACGCTGGTTCACCTCAAAGAGGTTTTACCACTGCTCCACTGCTGTGCCCCACCTGAGTGGTTTGAAACACACTTCCTGTTAGTACCGTATTACTCTGCTAGTTACACCTCTTCCAGCTCTGATAGTCCATGATGAGCATGATATTTTAGAAATTCCTTAGAGGCATATGGACATAGTTTCAAAATAAACTCTTTGTGAAGATAGTAAACATTCAGGGAACCAGCAGTTAGCGTAATGGCTATGTTGCTGGACTCCCACGTAGTCGACCGTGGTTCGCGTCCCGGACCCAGTGGCTTAAACTCACGCTGGGCATGTGTGCGTGCATGCCCAAGATCCCGAGAGGAGAACGGAGGAGAAGGGATTGCGGCGTGACCATCCCCCCTGGGGCGTGATTTCTTGCTTTCTGTCTCTATGTCTCTCTCTGTCTGTCTGGCGAGCACGCGCCCTATAGCGAAAACCTCTCAAAAAAAAAAAAAAGATAGTAAACATTCACAACTCACCAATAACTGAAAGAAAGGAGAGTGAAGCAAACCTACATTTGCATGTAATCCAAAGGTTACTAATTTCATTTCTTTTTTCCTTCCCCCAGTCTTTTTTTTTTTTTTCAATAAGGAGCGTGAGCTTGCCAGAAAGACAAGAGAGAGACAGAAAGTGAGAAATCACCTCCCCAGGAGGGTGGCGACAATACAATCCCTTCTCCTCCATTCTCCTCTCAAGATCTTGGACATGCACGCACACGCACCTGGTGTGAGTTTAAGCCACCAGGTCCAGGACTCGAACCACAGTCAACTACATGGGAGTCCAGTGACCTAGCCATTACGCCAACTGCTGGTCCCTCCCTAGTCATTTCTTAAAAAACTACCTATGTCCTTGACCAAGAAAATGGGAGTCATTGACATTCAAAAACCATTTTAATAAGTGTTTGCAACCTACATAGCTTTAAATTTAAGACAAAGCTTTTAGCATTGAAGGAAGACAGTTGTCCTTTGATCTGATGGGCATGATGGTTGACCAGAGAAGGTAGAAAATCAGGCAATCAAAGTAATATGTGGTGGGACCAGCAGTTAGTGTAATGGCTATGTCGCTGGACTCCCACGTAGTCGAACGTGGTTCGCATCCCAGACCCAGTGGCTTAAACTCACGCTGGGCGCGTGTGTGTGCGTGCCCAAGATCCCGAGAGAATAGAGAAGAAATTGCGGTGTGGCCATCCTCCCTGGGGGGTGATTTCTCACTTTCTGTCTCTGTCTCTCTGTTTATCTGGTGAACACACGCGCCCTATAGCAAAAACCTCTAAAAAGAAATAATATGTGGTGAAGGCCGTGACATAATCCCACAATTGCCTGACAAATTCGAGATTCTAAATAACTCTTTGTTTCTACATGAAACAAACATTGAGTGTATGTGATCCAGATGAACTATGAGAAACCTCTGATCCTTATGTTAACTATTTAGTTTTTGTCTAACTGCTCACCAAAAGTAACCGTTCCACTAACTATGCATAGTTATCATCCTCAAGGTCTAGTTTCTGTCTGAGTGAAAAGGCAGTTAAATGGACTCAGTTCAAATAGGGGTGGAAAATCAAGTACAAGCATAACAATCATGAAAAAAAAATTGAAATACAAAAATCACTCATTATTGCCACTTTTTCTGTTCTCTCCCTTAGGACATCTACTTGGCCTCTCCCATGATGATTCCAAATTCTGTGAAGAGAACTTTGGTTCCACAGAAGATAAGCGCTTGATGTCTTCCATCCTAACCAGCATTGATGCATCCAAGCCCTGGTCCAAATGCACCTCAGCCACCATCACAGAATTCCTGGATGATGGCCATGGTATGTACAATTCAGGACAGTATATGCTCAAAAACAGGGATATTCTGATGAGTTTTACTTCACTATATCCTCATAATATGCATTTTGCCTTCTAAGACCATGGTGGTTTAGACAGTGTGAGAAAAAGCAGCAAAGAATTGATTGCCTGTTGGTGTGCAATGCCAACACCCTTGGTGGCATTATGACTATGGTATTTTTGCTTTTGAATTGAAAAGTTCAAAAGGGAAACAGTGTGGGAGACCACACAGCATGCCAGGCTAGTGCCCTAAAAGCCTGGCTTTTATTCCCTCTTTCACCACTAGCTTCCTGTGAGAACTTTGGCAGACATCTTGGTTCCCCAGCTATTACTATGACCCTCAGAATTATTTGTTACATGCCTATTACAGGGGTGTGGTTAAGAGGTAGGTGACAATTCTACTGGATTCTTTTTATGGCAGTAAAAAGTCAAAAGAGGAAGATCTCTAGGTTCACACTGAGTGAAAGAATTTGGTTTCATCCTGACAAGAGATTCTCCTGAATGTGGAGTAAAAACTGCAAAACAGAAATAGAAAGCAATTTTAATGATGGGAAAACATTTTAAGAACTTCAAAAGGAAATCTTTGGCTTTATCCTTTAGATACAGCTCAAGGGCATAGCATACTTTATTAAATTCTGCAAGACTAGGATTAGGGCTATAAATCAAATTAAAAAATGAAGAGATCATAATTTTTAGAAATAATAAGTCCTGAACCCTAAATAATCTTTGAAACAAGCTGTTATAAATTTCCTAGCATTCTTTATTACCATAAAGTAACAAAAACACAGATGGATAGCCACATTGGAATTGGATGAGATCTTCAGAGATCACGTGACTTAAGTTTTTCACTTACAGAAATGGACATAGTCTTCTTTTGTGTTCTTTTAAAATTTGTCTCTCTCTAAAACTGGTGGTAAGTAGAATATGACAGAAAGTCTTGACCTTAATAATTTGGCATAAAATAATCTCATGACATATAGTTGGAAGTTGAATAAAGAGAATCTGTGATAACTGTCTTTTTCTCAGTACAGCACAGTTTATGACTAAATACTTTCATAATTTCTTAATATAGTGGTCATTTTGATCTTTGGCTACAGAATGTTAAAACAGTTGACAAAATTGGTTCACACCAGACTAAAAGAAAGTTAGCTGACCGTCCGTTGATATCATGTAGCCAAAATAGACTCATCAACTCATGTTCATTACATTGTTGTGAACTAGTAAGGTCTTAGCTACTTTCTATTATGTCTTTAAGCTTCTTATTCCAAAAAACAATCCAGGGCCAGCTTGGTTTAACATTTTTCTCAATGTAAATTTCTTTGTTAGTTGAAGGACATTCCAATGTCTTAATGACTTACAATGACAGTAACAGTCAATGTGGTAACTTTTCTTAGACTAATAACAAAATGGTAATCTTTAGTTTACTTTACAATGCTGATTAAATTCTCATAAAGTTCTAAAATTAATGTATACCTAATTATCTCCCTACCTACATTGATCTAGACAATATCAAATAAAGTTCCCTTAGGTGGAATCTTAAGTCTCCACTCTTAATATTACTTTTTGCCACTTCTTTTTCTTTTCAGGTTTACTGAAAATGAAATAACATCAATATTTTGTTTAAAAATCACATGTTACACATTCCAAAAGATTGAGCTAAACCTTGAATCACTAAATGAATGGATTTAGTTGCTAAGGCAGCAAATACTTATGGCTAAAGTGGGACCAGTTTTTTTTTTTTTTTTTCCCTTGTGCAAGTATTAGGTCAGCTAATTACAATGCTGTGCAGAATTCTGTTTCTTATTGCAATGATTTAAGAATGATTCATTTATTTCATGTTTGTGGAATTTATGATCTTGCTTTCTGTCCAGTAAGTATGCTTTCAGCATTGTCCTCATATTTAACATTATTTCTGTGTTTAAAGGAGTCCATCCTCTAATTTTTTATAATTTTACAACAGATTTACATAATTTTTGCATCTCTCTGCATCTTATTCTAAAGGACTTATGGTAGAGAACAAATAAAGACATTGTTTTAGTAGAAAAAGATCTTATTCATTTGTACTGATTTAAAAAATTACCTACATTTTTCATATGTATATTAAATTAAAAAATTCAGGTACTAAAATTTTTTGGACAGAAAAATACACTTTACTTGTTTATTATTCTATTTTATTAAATCCAGACTTTCACTTTTGAATGTGTTGAATTGGTTAGTCAGTCTTTTTTTGAAACAAAGAATTCCATTTTATCAGTAGCCTATAATGAATAAAGTGATTTCAAAACAATGAAAAATAAAGACAGGGTGGCACCATGCAAAAGCCCAAGTATGTCTAACTTTGTTTTAAAGTAGCATATACAGATATAGAATTGAAACAGCTGTGGTCTCTGTGGTACTATCATATAAATATGAATGAAGTTTTTTTTATTATCGTGTACACTAGCCAGAGAGAGAGAGAGTGAAAAACTAGCCTCCAATGGAAAGTGCTTGCACTCCAATCCTTTCTTCTCTCCATCCTATCTGGATCTTGGGCTTGCACACACAGGTGCCTGGCATGTTTTTCAGGCTTCTGGACTCAGGACTCCAACCATGGTAGGCCATGAAGGATCTGGCTTCCTTAACCACTGGCCTATAGAACCAGTCTTCAAATAACTTAATAATTTTCAACTTGTGACACAAAACTGGACTGAAGTTTAAGTTAAAATGTGGCCATAGGAACCAGGAAGCCAATTTTGACATGGCTGAGGTTCTGACATCTCGTCCAGAGCTTAGAAGACCAAGGAGGAAATCAAACCCAAGATGGTGGACAAACAAGGAACAAATGCATCTTTCTTAAAAAACTAAACTGGTATTATGAAAGCACATCAGGAAACATTTTCGCCTTACTCATAAGGAGCTACTTAGTCTTTCATTCAGAATCCTTTTATTCTTATTTTTACATTTTTTTCATTCTAATTTCCTAGATCACTAAAAGTTTTAAGAAGTTAAATAACAATGGATATACAGGGAGAGATTTCAGACAGATAAACTGAGAGCAAGAAGTGACACCATTTAACAGTAAGGGAGGAGCAAGAAAAGCCATAAAATGGAGCCATAAAACATAAAAGGCTCAGTGGTTTGCTGTCATTTTAAAAAATATCTAAAACTCTATCACACTAGCTGATCCCTAAAGGTAACTCCATATTTTAACATGATACCATAATCAATACACAGATAAAAAAGAATAATGTTCAATTATTCATGAAGGTTAAATTAAATATTAGCAGCAAACTAACTGCTAGTTTCACGTAGGTTTTCTCACAAAATTTACACCATTTTGTGATAGCACTTAAAAAGTACATTATCTGGAAAATCCATTTATATGTCCTATCTCATCCCTCCCTCTCACCTCCAACAATGCTAAAGAAATGAGGTCAGAGACTAAAATTAAATTCAAAGTGCTTGATTTATTTTTAAAATTATTAGCCATAAGTAGCTGGACATTTGCAGCATTCTACCACTGCCAAATTTAAATTCATTAGAACTGAGTGTTTCCTGATTTAGTTCCAACAAGAAATGTGCAGCAATTAGGTTGTGGTTGAGAAGCCAATGTGCACACTCTAAAGTAACTGTGTCTGCAGATCTGTGATTCAGAAAAGAAGTGTGCCTTGTGGGACTCCCCCTACCCTGGCCAAGATACTTGTAGCTATTCTGCAGTGTTTGTACAAGTTAGCTCTAGGGAGGCTGGCTAGGAGGATGGTCCTCGAAAATAAAGGTAAGCACTGGCAGAGAAATTGTGCAGAGAAAGCAAGTTATTGAATTTCCTTTCTCAAATGCTTGATAACCTTGAGGCCAAAAAAAGAGATAGCTGTGTTTGCTGTATCCCTAAGTGCACACTGCCAGGTGATGGGACAGGCCACTGCCTAAGTGGGTGTAGCTTAAGAACACCCTTGACATGGGCACTAAGTAAAATCCATAGACAGTTTGAAACATTAACATGTAGCATATTTAAATAGCTCCATTTACAGTTATTTACTGAACACAAAATGCTATACATAAAATGGTACTGAAAGACCAGTTCGCTGAATCTTACTCAAGTGTAGGTTGTAAACTTAGCAATAAGAGCTTTACATCCAGTTTTTAAGGTGGTATTAAATTCAAAGCCAATTATGGTTGTATCTTGATGCTCCCGGTAACTGTCCTTTAAAAGAGTGTGTGAATAAGACATATATAACATATATATGTATAA